AAGACGCCTGCCAAGCTGCAGACCACTGTTCAAGACCAACAAACAACCAAAACAGTTGGTTTTTAGTGAGTCATTGCTGCGTCTTCCAGCAGCTTTGAGGCCAATAAACGTGTGTGTTTTTTCGTGACCCGTCTCTGAATTTCTTGCTGGGATAGTGCCAAGACAATCGGTTGTTTTAAACCAAGACACCGCTGCGTTTCCAGCCAGGATAGTGCCATGAAATTGAATTGATGAATTTATTATCGAGACATCACTGCATTTTCAAACTTGATCTTTTTGGAAAAAGCTAAAGCCCCAATTACTGACACATCACATCACATCACATCACCCTGTGCTAATTAAAAACTGTACTGAAGCCCCACTGGTCATATAACCCTAAATCATACATATGTTGAATTTCTGTATTTAGTAAACCCATCAAACAAAGCAATGAAAATACATGTTTGGTCTGATCACTGTACAAAAAACCCTGTAACAGAGCACCACCAGGGCCTGATGTACAAAACACAACAGCACGCTCGCAGTGTGAACGCAGCCTTACAAACCCTTTGGCAGCGCTGCACGCCTCTCATAACCGCCACTAACGTCTCTCCAAGGTTGCTAGTTTGATAAATAGTCAGGACATTTCAGTAACTTGAATTTCTTGAAACATGTGATCGTATAATAAAAAAGGCAGCTCACTCCGGGTGATTTAAAGTCACATAATTCAAGAAAGAGGGCTTTTCAGAGGAAACATCCTCTCCCAACTGGCAGTTCTCGTTCTGTAACACATGAAGATCGTTTGTCAATACTCTGTTAAAACGGAGGGTTCATTAAATCCACTGAAGCACGTCATAATGTTCAGCCCAGGTCAAACACAGGATAACTATATATACACATACATAAAAACACGTGTAGGGGTGAAGTTGCCTTTGCCTCTTTTCAATTTATATCCAGACCATGAAAAACCACCTCAGTGTGAGTGTTTCACGATCATACATGATAAAATACGAGCACTTTTCCATGTGAAGACGTAACTGTAACAACACTGGCAAAACCTAAAAACTGGCCATTGCCATTCCAAAATATTAGCACCAGATCTTTTGACTTAAGTTTGAGGGCAAATCAAGGATTTAAATGCCATTTTTGCAACGTCTTTTAATGCCAAAGAAGACAATTCTAGTTTTCCATTTCTAAAGGATGGTGTACACTTGAAAATAAGGCTGTAACCAACAATTATTCCATTAGAGTATAGTGTATAGAGTATAGTACAAAGACTGTATAAAAGAAGTGGACACAGCCACTGTGCTGTCACCCACTGGGTTGTCGACTTCCGTTCTGAGGCCACGAGTTCAGCATTTGGGCAGTCGTGATCTTGTTTTTGGAGCCAGAAGTGACTATATTTGGACAAGAGGGCGGAGCTGTGGAGGATATGCACTGCTACACTTCTATCCTAGCTGATAGGCCTCCGTGGTCGCAACTGTCAATCCCAAGGTAGCCACGCCCCAAAGCACACCCTGCTTTATTGTCTATTTTACCCTTAAATGGGACCAAAATTTACTGAATGAACATTATTCTGTATTGTCGAAGACTTGAAACCAGCGATTGAGACCATAAACTCATTAGAAAAATGTTTACCGAGGTAACACAACCCCAAATCCAAAACAAGTTGTGACGCTGCGTAATGCTGATTAACAGAATGTAATGAATCGCAAATCCTTTTTGACCTGTACCAAACTTTGTTTTTTGTAATATACACTCATTCTGAATTTGATGCCTGCAACACGTTCCAAAAGAGTTGGGTCAGGTGCATGTTTACCGCTGTGTGACATCACCTTTCCTTTTCACAACACTCAGTAAGTGTTTGGGAAGTGAGGACATTAATTGTTGAAGTTTTTAAAGTTAATTTTTTCCCCCATTCTTGCTTAAAATACGACTTTAGTTGCTCAACAGCCCGGGGTCCCTTTGTCAAATTTTGCGCTTACGTGCCACACATGGATCTGGACTTCAGGTGGGTCAGTCTAGTACCTGCACTCTTTTACTACGAAGCCACGCTGTTGTAGCATGTGCAGAATGTGTCTCATTGTCTTGCTGGAATAAGCAGGGATGTCATCTGGATGGCAGCATATGTTGCTCCAAAACATGTACCTTCAGCATTTATGGAGCCTTCACAGATGTGAAGTTTACCCATGATGCCATGGGCACTAACACATCTCCATACCATCACAGATGGGGGCTTTGAGCTTTGAGCTGGTAACAATCTGGACGGTCCGTTTCCTCTAAAGCTCAGAGGACATGACGTCCATGATGGACTTGTCAGACCACAGCACACTTTTCCACTTTGTGTCAGTCCATCTCAGATGAGCTCAGACGCAGAGAAGTCAGCGTTGTTGATATCTGGCTCTCACTCTGCATGGTAGAGTCTGAACTTGCATTTGTAGATGTGGCGACAAACTGTGTTACAGACAGTGGTTTTCCAAAGTGTTTCCTAGCCCATGTAGTTATGGCCGTTATACCAGTGGTCCAGATTTCTCCTTAGTCATTAGTTCAAGGTCCACATAGTTAAATACATTCTTAAAAATAGCGCCGTACTTGCATATTCAAGCTAGTTTGCTGTCTCTGTCAAGTAGCTGTCCATTAGTCACTTGCTCTACGGCAGGAAATTGCACTTCAAAATAAAACCTCTGTGCTGGAAATTCACTGTACTTAAAAATAAGCGTGTTTTTCACAAACTTGACACGTTTGCGAGTCGCTTGCGGTCCATTCAGAATGGATCCGTGACCCACTTTTGGATCATGACCCACCAGTTGGGAAACACTGCTTTATGCAATCATGTTGGTTTTCAGAGAGTGCAGCCTGAGGGGTCAAAGGTCACAGGCATTCAATATTGGTTTTCAGCCTTGCCCCTTACGTGCAGATATCTGCGGATTCTATGGATCGTTTGATGATATTAGAAGATGGTGAAATCCATCAATTCTTGCAACTGTGCGTTGAGAAATACTCTTAAACTTTGGGACTACTTGCCCACACATTTTATCAGGAAGTGGTGAACATCACGTCACCCTTGCTTGTAAGCCTTCTGAGGTTGCCCCTTTCATACCCAATCATCTTGTCTTTGGACTGTATTCTGCTGCATATAGGTTGAAAAGGATTTGCCAATCACTGCATCACAACTATTACACAATCAGGGTTTTAAATCAAGTGAGAAATAGGGTCATGTTCTTGTAGACTTCTACATGATATGGCTTATTTTTGCAGCAGTGGAGTCGCCCCCTGCTGGTCATTAGAAAGAATGCAGGTTTAAGGCACTTCTGCACCGGCTTCACTTCTCGGACCTGGATGCCACGATGTCCACTTCTTTTATACAGTCAATAGTTTTTAGTTTCATACGTGAGGAAGAAAAACATAAAAATTCCACATCCGAGAAGCTGAAGATGTGTCGTCTCTCTGCTTGAAAAGCGACAAACGAGATGAAGAAGTGTGGGTGGAAGTAGCTGTGGGTTACCTTCAGTCTATTTAGTCTCACCCCTTCACACTTCATCTTTGTTCGTACAACAGCAAATCAACACGGAAAGGCAACTTCACCCGTCACATAAAAATACACAGTTATTGGTAGAGTTAACTCCACGGAATAGTTAGAAACAATAAATAAGTTAAGAACGTCCCTTCACTGAGATTTAGCAGAATACTGAGTGTACTCTGAGTGTGTGTGTGTGTGTGTGTTGGGGTGATTTGATGGGGAACGAATGACACAATATATTACTTTCATCTCTGACATTAAGAATATAATGACTTACAAGGGTAGCGTGACAGTAAACAATGCTTGTGTCTTTTTCTTCCCAGCATTCCCCCTTTTAAAATCTCAAATCACACCCTGTGTGCGTGTATGTGTGTGTGTGTTGTGGTAGTAGTAGTGTAAATCTGCAACCGTAACACAGTTTAGTGAGTTAGCACGTCACACTTTTTTGTACTTCAAAAAAACAAACACAGGAATGAGGAAAAAACCAACATAAACATGGAATCTCTTTGTGGACATTCTCAGTTTCCTGTTTGCTTACGAACCCCCCGAGGCATCACATACACACATCTTAGTGGTTTCTGTTATACCTACTTGATGGTAATAACTCACGGGTGTGATGGAGGACAGGTAGATAGAAATAAAATATTAGTGGATAATATAAGTGTTCAAAAACGTGAATGGTTTATGGTATACTTGATATTTTCAGCTCAATAAATAATAGAAAACACAGAGCTGTGGTGTCTTTTGGTGTTTGTAGAAAGGCGAGAACCCATTACTATACTAATATGTGGCCAAAAGTATGTGGACATTTGGTTTAGGGCCTTTTATGCCCTATTTATAGATCTGCTCCCGACTAAGAATTGGCCTAGTCGCCCAATAGTCGTCATTTAGGGCCATTAGTCGACTAGTCGCCTGCATGTTTAAGATATTAATGTAATTATTAAATGATATATTTTGGGCGGGGCAACACAATGGTTTGCGTTGAAGGTGTGAGAAAGAATAGTATCAGTAACATTGTTAACACTGTGCTACATTACAGAGAAATACAAAACCGTACTAATGAACCTTCATTAATATAGGCCTATATTTTATCTACAAGTGCACGTCACACACTGAGCGAGCCGCCTGTTAATGACGCTGTGGGCTAATGGGCATGTAGCTACTTCCATGTTTCAGATGATACGTCATGTTTGTAGTCGACCAATGAAGATGAGTTTACATGTCACCTTGGGTTCGTCCTTCACCTTCTCAAAATGATCCCACACTTTGGATTTCCTGCCCGACATGTTATTAACTAGCCTGTGGAATAACCGCAGGTACCAGCCCTGGAAATTAACCTGACTCCTGTCTGACTGCTGAGCGTGGACACTTCCTGTGTCTGTCCTTTCAAATTAAATTCCCACATGGTCATATAGGTTTTGATTTATTCTGACTCCTAATAGAGTTTCACGTTTGTTTATTTTTGTTTTTTCTGCGAAAAGCGACAAATGAAATCTTGCCGACAAATTACCGTTGTGATTGACTAACGTTTGGTCGACTATTCGGGGGCAGCCCTACTTATTTCAACTGCATGGTGCAGCACGACTCGACCCACTTGGAACGATCCTTTTTTTGGGTTCCATCTGCAAATGTTGTAGATAGTACCTGGTATATTTTTGGTACCACCTTGGTCAAAGTTCCAAGTGAGCTGAGGTGATGGAAGGTGAAGTTTAAACACCGCAGTTTCACGCACAATCCCTATGACGATTGGCTAAGATTCACCTGAAGACCTTTTTAGGCACAAAATGTGGGTGTTTCGTAGCTTTGTTTTTTACTGAGATGTCGCTGCTTTTCCTGTCGAGATTGTTGCCCAAAAAGCAGTTGTTTTCTTACTGAGAATTTGCTGCTTTTCAAACCAGGATAGCGCCCCAGTGAAACGAGATATCTCAAACTAAACATGATCTTTTTTCCTAACCATAACCATGTGGTTAACATATGAGCTACATAGCAACATACAAATGCAACGTATCCATGGTTCGCAAAAACGTACAATGCCAACATTTTTTCTGGTGACTGAGTCGTGTTCCACCTACGCTGAGGAGTACTGCTAACAGATGACAACAAATTTGAGAAAAGTACCTCGTGCCAAAAGTGAGTCAAGTCAAGCCGAACCCTGCAGCGGAAATTCGTTGAAAGTTACAATGAAGGGACGACACAACAGTGTGCCTCCAACTTTGGAGCAACAGTTTGGGGAAGACCAAACGAATGTCGCCATAAACAATGTCAGCATAAATAAAGAGTTTTCCCAGTTTAGTGAGGAAGAACTTGACTGGGTGCTGTGAAGAGCGCTGACTTTAACCCCATCCATTTGGGATGAACTTGGATGAGCCGGATCTTATCGCCCAACTCGCTGTTGGATAGGGGTGGGGGAAAAAAAAAATCGATTTTTAGATGCATCGAGATTCTGTCTTGAACGATGCGAGCATCGATGCAGAAAACTCGTAATTGATTTTATTTTTATATTTATTTTTCAAATTACTGTAACTTCTCGACCATTCACGCTATCGATGGAATTCCAACGGATTCTGAAAGCTGAGAAGCAGAGCTTTTCAGTGATATACATTACGGTAGTGATGTCATTCCCTGTGGAGGAGGGGAGGGAATTGGAGGAGAGTGACAGCTGACGAGGAGAGTGCAAGTTGGAGTGTTTTAGTGGAGTTTGGGTGGTGTTTTCTTTGTAAATAATATTTAGTGTTGTAAATAATAGTATTTGTGGTTTTTTGAGAGCTTTTGAGTGTTTTTTTGTCGTGTTTTCGTTGTGTTTTCACCATAGTTTTGCCATTGTCTTTTTTGCAATAGTTCGTGTTTTTACAGTTCATAGATAGTTATAGTCAGTTTTACTTTTGTAAATACTGGAGGAGAAATGTTGAGGAGATCGACGAGGGACAGGAGAGTCCCATTGAGATGTGTGGATGAGGAGGATGGACCGGAGGAGACTGGTGGAGTGTATCTTCTCAACCACAGTAAGTAATATAGTTTGTATGCACTGGATATGTATTCCCAGCTTTATTACAATAATGTTTTTCAATATCTAGGGTAAATTTTCTTATTGGCTCGTTTTAGAATCGAGAATCGTTTTAGAATCGAGAATTGTTTTAGAATCAAAATCGTTGCCCTCAGAATCAGAATTGAATCGAATCGTGAGGTGCCTAGAAATTCCCACCCCTACTGTTGGACCTCAGTGAACAAGAGCAAATCCCTGCAGCAGGTTCCCAAAACTGGGGGTAAGCCTGAAAAGTGGTTTTGGGATAAAACTGTCAAAAGGTGTCCACATACTTTTGGCCATATATTTAAAGTTAAAATCCAACCTGTTTTGAACCTGCGTAAAAGTATAATGCAGTTGGGAAAACATCAGATATTGGTACCAGCTTTAAAATTCCACATCAATGCACAATCCAGTGTCGATTTAAAGCTGCAGGAAAATGAATTTGATTCTATATAAAAGAAAACATAAAACTTTTAAAACATAAAACACAAGCTCGTTTTGGGGGCAAAGTTACACCTTGACAACCACAAGGTCAGTTTTCATTCAGGGGTTGAAGATGTACAAACACTTTGATGAAACAGGAAGTTGACCTACCTTTAGAGGCTTTTTGTTCGAGAAGTTGATGCTTGTTTGCGTCAGAGATATAAATACAGCTCCCTTAAAAACACCGTAATCAAAAGATGGCACTGGGGTTAGACTGACATGTAGGTCGATGCTGATTAAAGTCGTAGAAACCCTCTTTAGGTCTGATTCTCGTGTTTATGCAGAAATATTTTTGCATAATGTGTTTCATTATAAGCATCTTAGAGTTTCCACTGGACTGTTTTGGTGTCTCGTGATGGCCTGAATGTTATTTCAGAGGCTTTTGGTTCAAACAGGAAGTGCATCCTGGGGGCCCTGAATGTCTGAAATTACTGGCCGTGAAAATCGTTAAATTTCATGGAGGGTAATACATCCAATATCAGCAGCTTTGGGTTAAAAAAAAAATGCGTATAAACCCACATCAGTCAAACCCCAGTGTTCACAAGGGGCCAACTCTTCCACAAAACAATGCCAACAACGCTGGCAGATCGGGACAAAACGGGGACTGTCGGAGCTCCACTGTCACGACAGGAAGGAAATTCATGAGTCTGAGGCTGAACACGTTTAGGTCCTGGGGGATTAAGTCACACACACTTCATACATTCATTCATTCATTCATCTAATACACACACACACGCAGTCTTTTTCCCCCCTTCATCCTCCTTCCTCTTCAGCTCTCAGGTCCAAAGATAAAGATAAGACATCATAGTTAGGCAGAAAATTCACACTCACTCTCACACACACGCAAAACCTTTCCTCGCCCTCTGTCGCCCTCACAGCTCAGCGGTCAGACGTCGTAGTCGGGCAGGGCGGAGTACGTGATGCCGCCAACTGACGGAGGGCTGGAGTGGAGAGGAAGGAGCCAGCAAAAGACCGAACCTGGAGAGAAAACACAGTGCCGAAATGATCCAAACGCACGATGAACGCTCTGATAAGAACAGTCGTGAGCGGTGCATTTCAAACCGTGGACGACAAACACAAACCCACCTCTTCCGAAAACCTCCCGCAGCAGAGCCAGCTTTGGCTTGCGGGTGTGTGTGGGGTGGTGAGGCAGCTGAGAGGAGGCGGAGGAGGAGGAAGAGGATGAAGATGAAGAGCCCCGGTCCTTGATCATCAGCCTGTTCCTCATCTGCTCGATGGGAGTCTCGTCTGTGATTATGGAGACCAACTGGAGGGAGCGTTATTACATTTCAGGAAACTGGATTCAAGACTTTTTGAGGCCTAACTTGTTTTATATAATAAAGTTTTTCAACCTGGACCCTATTTTCCCATGTTTAACACTGTTCAACAAATGTAGTGAAGTAAAAAGTGCAATATTTCCCTTTGAAGTGTGGAGAAGTATAAAGCTGCATGAGATTAAAATACTCAAGTTAAGTACAAGTTTGTGTGTGTGTGTGTGTGTGTGTACCTGATCGTAGAAGATGACCATGACAAACACGCCAAACAACACCGACTCCACCAGGAGGATGATGTAGTGAGCGCTACGAGAGAGAGGAAGAAACAGAAACAGCAGGCTGACTGATCAGAATCGACACACAACTACTCACAGACTGTTTCACACTGAAACACCAGAGTTCAGTTTCAAAGACCACCCTGTTTTCACTCCGCAGAGGACTCACACTATCAGGTGCTTGCTGGGCGTCTCCTCCCCTTCCTTCTCTGCATCACCCTCTCGCTCGTTCCTTATCCGCCACACCCAGGCCGACACCACCAACACCATGGAGTACAGACTGGCCATGCCTGCGCTCACACATACACAGTACACCATTACAACATCAGTGGCACCACCTGCAGGTGTAGTTGTGGTAGCAGCAGTGTTGGAAGACGTATTTAGATCCTTTACTGAAGTAGAAGCACGAATACCAAACTCCACTGCAAGTAAAAGTCCTGCATGCTGTGGTACAGTGTTTGTACTCACCGGTGTAAAAGAGAAACTGGATAAAATACTTCTGGTTCAGCTCTCCGACACAGTTGTTGATCCTAAAATACACAAATCAGGAAGTGAGTGAGAAGAAGATGACTAAAGAAAGAAGAGGAAGAGACAAAGTGTGAGAGATGAAAAGTGGAAGTTACAAAACAAAGAGGATCGGTGTGCGATGTCTCACCAGGGACAGTGATGGTCCATGCGGCGTATACACCTCTGACAGACACGGCAGTGATGCGCTCTGGGAGGTCTGTAGGTTTCGCAGCGACTGCACACCGTCCAGCCTTCGCAGCCCTGAAAACAGACGGACAGTACTCAGATACTCAAACACAAATATTCCAGTTTCTGCTGGAGTGTTTGTTTTTCTCGCATGTCTCCACGGTGGACAGAGAATCCAAAAATGGAGAAAATCCTTGATGAACTGTAGCCATAGGGGGCCACATTTAACAAGAGCAAAACTAGATCAAAACATCTGTTTACAGACTCTCGCACAACTCCAGCTGTATAATCCAAGTTTATACTTTATATTTATACTTCTGCATCGAATCAACGTCGTACCTATCTCTGCATCGAAGCAGAGCCTACGCCGTATCCTACATCATAGCCTGATGTGCACCTCCAGACAATAAAGGCTCCACAAAAATAGCATTTTAAGTCTTGTGTGTGATTTATTCTGGCTTCATATGAGCAGAAGAAATCTGTGCTAGACGCTAGGCTAATTTATACAATGTAAAATGTCATATGCTTGTGCTAATAACGTTAGCATGTTTTATTTGTTTGGAAAACGTGTTTAGTATAAGACAATTGTTTTGTCGGTGAACCTTGTGAGTTGTAATGGAGCCGAATTTTGTAACATTACCTTTGTTAAATGTTGGCGTTGTCGCTGGCTTCATATGAGAAGAGGAAAAGTCTGCTAGCCACTAGGCTAATTTATACAATGTAAAATGCCATAGGCTTGTGCTAATAATGTTAGCATGTTGTACTTGTTGGGAAAATGTGTCCAGATAAAGACAAGTGTTCGTCTGTGAATGCTGCGAGTTATAGTGAAGCTGATTTGTGTACTTGTGTTTGAAATTGTTTCTATTAAGCCATGTTTAATGTGTGTTTAATGTGTGTTTAGAATCAACTTAACTTTACAGCACTTCACAGAATCCCCAAGTATAAATGCTCATAGCGGCGTAGGGCATGTGCGTAGGCTACGGCGTAGGCTCTGCTTAGAGCTGATGCACAAGTATAAATCTGCCTTTATCTATCCAGTCGTATGATTACTTCCCAGACAGACAGGCTGGCTTTGAAGAGAGCCTTGCTAAGTTTTACTTGTACTTCAGTTCCCTGTCAGAAAGGGCTGTCTGTTTGAGAAGGACTGAGCATACGGCTTGAATTATATTGCTCTTCTTGTTGTTGGAGGTGGACCCCTATGACTTTCCTCCATATCTGGATTCACCAAGAAGGTATGCAAGAAACACAAAGCTTTCGTCACCAATGAAAAGTAGCATGGCTAGTATAGATTACACTGTGTTTTATGGAATTAACAATTACATTTTTTTGTTGAACTTTAAAATTAATATAAGAAAATAAATCTCACAATCTAACGTAACCCCTGCAGAACTACAACGTGCCCCTAGAAGTACCTGTACCCCCATTGGAGAAACACTGCCTTAAATGGTTAATCAATTATTAAAGTTTTTGTTGAATTTTTTTCTGTTCATCCACTGATTCTTTCAGAACATTGGCTTAAAAGATCTAAAAATGTACCTTGTAGATGGAATTCTACCACACCTGTCTACCAACATTATGAACCCAGAACAACAGAAGAAGGTCTGATCCCAGCACCCACAGACGTTTGAGATTCACGCTGTTTTTTTCTGGTCAGCCAGTACCCAAAAAGCTAAGTCAAGAATCACACACATTCAGAGTTTCCTGTTTTCAGTCGAGCTACAGATTCATACGTCATCCCCATCACTGTAACACCATCAAGACAACTCTTCACAGGCGTCTGCCATTAAGCTCATGAGTGCATAATAACAAGCCCAAAAGCAGACATAAGTACAGCTGTTAAGATGTAAATACGGAGTCACCACCAGATAAATATATAGCTGTTAATAATAGACTTACAATCAGAGAGGAGCTCCCTGTTATTAGCCTTTAGCTCTCTGTTGAGTTCATGACAAAAATATTTCCAAGGTGGAAAGATTCACTTTATCTCTTAGCTGGAAACGGCTGACTTAGCTCTGTGCTATCAAACAGACACAGAACTACATGATACGACTTTCTGGAACAATTTAAAGCTACTTCAAACGTTTTTGAACGATTTGTACTTGACTCTGCAGTAAAATGACGGACTAAAGTTTGTGTAATTAGTAAGATTAGAAGGATTAGGAGAATTTTAACCATGTGACTCACCCTCTCATTCATCCGAGACGACTGGGAGCGAAGGTCTGAGAAGTCTATGGCTGTCTCAGGAAGAGGCACCATACCTGAACAACACACGAACACGTAGGGCAAATGAAGTGTCTTTTCTTTTCCTGACTGTTTCTCCCATTTCCTGCAATGGCCCTGAGAACTCAACACACTGCAACTTCAGAAAACACCTTCACCAATTTGACTACACAGAGCTGCAAATAAGAGAAAACACAACCAAAGGCAGACATGCTGCAAGTAGCACCACACGCCAACAGATACCGTTTCCAGGGGACGCTGAAGAGTGATGCACATGGCAGTTTTTTTCTCTAACTGCTTCTCAAAGTCAAGGAAGGATGCTTCAACAGCTGCATTTCAAGGATGTGCTGTCATCGAATCCCGCTTAAGGACTGTTCCGATGTCTTGGATCCTTAAGTGCTGCATCGTAGGCAACTGGACTTGCTTGAGTATCTTGAACACGGTTCAACGCTCATCCAAGAGGCTTCTCCAGTTTTTAGATGAGAGCTGAAACGTCTTCAAGATACTCAAGCAAGTCAAGTTGTCCCAAATACATCCATCCATTTTTATCCGCTTATCCCAGGCCGGGTTGTGGGGGTAGCAGTCCGAGCAAAGCACCCTAGACGTCCCTCTCCCCAGCAACACTCTCCAGCTCCTCCTGGAGGACCCCGAGGCGTTCCCAGGCCAGATGAGATGTAATCCCTCCAGCATGTTCTGGGTCTGCCCCGGGGCCTCCAATACAACACTTAAGATTACCATGACCTGGATGACTGAGAATCTTCACAAAGATGTCGAGGATCTTCCGAATTATACCAAGGACAGAGTTCTTCGTTCAGAGAATTTATCCTCAGCGCTCTTAAGGCAACCAAAATCCTATGCACACAATGCATAGGTTCTGTCCCCTACTTTGGAAACAGGGAAAATTTGCAAGTAAAGTCTGAGCTATTTTATTTCAGCAGTCCAACAAAATCTGTTTCTGAAAAAAATGGAGTTGGCACCGATGCATTGCCGATCCTTGGCCATGCTTGTCTTTAAGTATAAGGCTAGACCGTGTATGAAATGCTAGAGGGCTTTGAATTTGAAACAGGAAATGGTGTCTTTTACTCAGTCACAGACTGTGCTTCGTTGCTGTGGTCCAGCCCAAAACTTCATGCGGATATGTCTAATGAAGAACAGTTCACTTAGACACACTAATAAAGCAGAAGGGATCTGCTATTTCTGGAGCTGTACCCACAACCCTTCCCTTTTCAGCTCCGGTTGGTGATGTACGTCCCCTCATGATTGGTGGAGGCTGCGCATCGATCGGCCACCATGAGAACCAAGTTCTGCTGTTAACGATAGTTTGTAAAACCTTCTATGGGCGCAGACTAATTGGCCAAACTGATTAACTGACCATACTCTAGTTAGCTTGCAGCCCGTCCGTCTATCCATCATTTTCAGCCACTTATCCAAAGCCAGGACACAGGGGGCAGCAGGCAAAGCAAAGCACCCCAGACGTCCCTCTCCCCAACAAAAGCTTTCCAGCTCCTCCTGGGGAACCCAAAGGCGTTCCAAGGCCGGACGATATACAGTACAGGCCAAAAGTTTGGACACACCTTCTCATTCAATGCGTTTTCTTTATTTTCATGACTATTTACATTGTAGATTCTCACTGAAGGCATCAAAACTATGAATGAACACATGTGGAGTTATGTACTTAACAAAAAAAGGTGAAATAACTGAAAATATGTTTTATATTCTAGTTTCTTCAAAATAGCCACCCTTTGCTCTGATTACTGCTTTGCACACTCTTGGCATTCTCTCCATGAGCTTCAAGAGGTAGTCACCTGAAATGGTTTCCACTTCACAGGTGTGCCTTATCAGGGTTAATTAGTGGAATTTCTTGCTTTATCAATGGGGTTGGGACCATCAGTTGTGTTGTGCAGAAGTCAGGTTAATACACAGCCGACAGCCCTATTGGACAACTGTTAAAATTCATATTATGGCAAGAACCAATCAGCTAACTAAAGAAAAACGAGTGGCCATCATTACTTTAAGAAATGAAGGTCAGTCAGTCCGGAAAATTGCAAAAACTTTAAATGTGTCCCCAAGTGGAGTCGCAAAAACCATCAAGCGCTACAACTAAACTGGCACACATGAGGACCGACCCAGGAAAGGAAGACCAAGAGTCACCTCTGCTTCTGAGGATAAGTTCATCCGAGTCACCAGCCTCAGAAATCGCAAGTTAACAGCAGCTCAGATCAGAGACCAGATGAATGCCACACAGAGTTCTAGCAGCAGACCCATCTCTAGAACAACTGTTGGCTATTTTGAAGAAACTAGAATATAAAACATGTTTTCAGTTATTTCACCTTTTTTTGTTAAGTACATAACTCCACATGTGTTCATTCATAGTTTTGATGCCTTCAGTGAGAATCTACAATGTAAATAGTCATGAAAATAAAGAAAACGCATTGAATGAGAAGGTGTGTCCAAACTTTTGGCCTGTACTGTATGTTATCCCTGCACCATGTTCTGGGTCTACCCCGGGGCCTCCTACCAGGAGGACGTGCCTGGAACGTCTCCAACAAGAGGCGCCCAGGAGGATCCTGATCAGATGCCCCAACCACCTCAACTGACCCTTTAGACCCAAAGGAGCAGCGGCTCTACTCCGACCTCCCTCTGGGTGTCCGAGCTTCTCCCCCTATCTCTAAGGCTGAGTCCAGACACCCCACGAAGGAAACTCATTTCGGCCACTTGTATCCGGGATCTCAGTCACTACACAGAGCTCATGACCATAGGTGAGGGTTGGGACGTAGATGGACCAGTAAATTGGAAGCTTTGCTTTCTGGCTCAGTTCCCTCTTCACCATGATGGTCCGGCACAGCGCCCGCATCACATCAAACTGCTGATCCATCTCACGCTCCATTTTACCCTCACTCATGAACAGGACTACAAGATATGTGAACTCGTTCACTTGGCCTTGCAGCTAGCTTGCTTGCTAATTCCTCCATGCTGTCGTGGCCCCCTGGTTACAGAAAATGCCACAGCGCCTATTCATTTCAAAAGAGCAACAGCCAATAAGAAAACACCCTCGTCATCACTCACTCAGTGACAAACAAGTCTGTCTCATTTATAGGGCTGGCCAATTTTCCCGCTGTTTTTGAAATTGGAAACTGGAATTGGAAACTGAAGCGGAAACTTTCCAGTGAAACACACCTGCACACTCTTTGGACTATTCTATCATGATTGAGGTGGGAAGGAGTCTTTACTTTGAGAAGCACCCTCTATTTGCACGTGTTTGCAGTGTGCTGAGCTCTCAGGGCCACCGTACATTTCCTTCCTGCCTTATGAGCCTGAACATTGAACACACACACACACACACCCTCACAGTTACTGACCGGGGTCTGAGAAGACAGCTTTGGAGTGGCAGGCCAGCAGCAGCAGCAGAATCAGGTTGAACACTGATCCATGTAGAGTACACCAAACACTGTCAGAGGGTTAGAGAAGGAGACTCAATGCACTAAACAAACACCATTTGTTGTTTCATTAACTCTTCTGTTATGTGTAGGGCTGCGATTAATCGATTAACCTGCCAGCTATTTTCCAAAATAATCGTTAGATCTACAAAATGCCAGAAAGACACAAATTAAAGAAGCTGTTTTGTCCAAAAACATTCAGTTTTCAATAATACGAAAAAGGGAAAAACAGGTTCTCGAATTGGAAAAGCATTATTTTGTCATTCTTGGTCAGGAAAGTTATGAAAATGATCAATAGATTATTAAAATAGTTTTGAAACAAACAAACAAACACATAGCTAACTTGAGGGGGAAAAAACGTAGAGTCAAACTTTCACAGCAGACAGATTAATCACGTTTGTAGTTTGATATGGCAACAAATTTGACTGACTTTAGCGAAAGTAACAAGCTTAGACCCTGTTAATTAGGAAATACTCGTTTGAGGACACTGGGACTTTATTATCGTTGACAATATTTAGTTTTTATCCTACTGATCCCAAATAGCTAGGAGAAATTAAAAATGCATACCAACCAAAAATTCAGGTCTCAGGAGGTTAAATGCTCTGAACAATAAAATACATCGTCTTTGAAGCGTCTTTGTTACTCCATATCACAACATAAAGCTCATGAACGCACCAAAGTCGGGAAATTGGACTATCCGAGACGCACCTGAACGCTACATTAGTCGTGACGTTTACAAATTAATGTAGCAAGTGGAGTTTTAAGTACAATATTTAGGCTACTTCTTAAATGTAATGGAGGATAAGGATAAAGAAGCATAAAATAAAAATATATAAGTTTAGAACAAACACCACAAAAGTGTACTTGAGTACTCTACACCTCGAGTAAATGTACTTAGTTACATCCCAGCACTGTTTTTTTTGGCCTGAGACTGTGTCACTGTCAACTAGAGCTACAGGCTAAATTAATAGAAATAAAAAAAAGTGTAAAGTCAGTAAATCCCTGTATTCTTAAACGCATCCGTGACAAACAACTGAAACCTCCTGTCACGTTACAGCTGACTGTTTCGGGTCCCAGCTAGTAAACAAACGGAAACACACATGTAACCTGGTGTCACCTCAATAAAAACCCGTCAGAAACACGCGCCTGGATTTAAATAAATACGTGTTAGTGTGATAAAAACAAGTTTGGTTAGGATTCAGCAGAGGCAGAGAGACAGAGAGGAAGCTGTCAGACCTGTCTGCTGTCATATGAATGGAGACAGCGCAGAGGAGCAGACGCCATGTCGGTTTTTTAGGGGGTTAAACGACATTAAAACACAAAGTACCGACCTGTCCGAGTAGGCGGGGATGAGGACATACTGTATGACCACGTAGTCCGCGTAAAACACGCTGAAATAAGTTAAAATCAGACAGATAACGCCGCAGGGGTCTCGCCTACAGCGCAGAGACGCCATCTTCTGCCGGGCTCCGCCCCCCTGTCCCCCGCCTCATGCTGCCTTCCTGGACCGTGGGAAATCACAGGCACTTCTTAAAGGGCCAGTTCACTCATTTTAAAAAATGGCGCACATCATCCAAGCATATTGCAAATTATATTTTCATGCTCTAATATCTATATCTATGTGTATGTTTTTGTGTCTAACTATGTATATTGCTTGAAAATATAACAATTATATCTTGGAAATACGTTACTTTTCCTTTTTAATTCTTCCTTATTGCTGCTTTTATATAGGTAGCAATATTTTCCATTCATCGTTTTTATTGTTTATACATTTTTATTTGAATATTTTAAATATTCTTAAGCATTAGAGAATTTTATTCTATAATCAAAGTTTGGTATTTATGATATAATTTAAATTTAACTGTGATATTGAACACATTTTACAGATTTATTTGTATATAATATGTACATTTATATATAGACACAGTTATGTACATACCGCCTATTTAACTGTACATGTTTCTCTCGAATATAATTTTCCTTTTCTGTTTATTTCTTCTTTAAAAGTTCTGCTTTTATTTGGGTTGTTCTATTTCTATTTATCTATTTTACTGTTTATATTCTATTTTCATTTAAAATTTTCATATTCTATCTTTACGGTGATATTACACGTATTTAGATATTTTTGTAATGTGAATATATGTATGTTTATATGTACATATGTAATCATATATGTCTCTTGTAAATAAAATTTAGGTTTGCTTTTAATTATAAAAAAAATTGCCTGTTTTTTTGATTATGTACTATTCTTATATACATTTTATTAATAGCTGTATGTATATCTATATTTACATTTTCTGTGTGTATAGCGTGGAGGAGGCTACAGCAACAACAACAATTCTTGGTCTAAGCCTGTATTTTGCCACAACAATAATAAGATCATTGAGTCTGTATTTCGTCCAACAAACCCAAAAAATTCAATTTTCAGATACATAAAACAACAAATTTTCAAATTGGAGAAGCAATATGTTGTCACTTTTTTAGTCAGAAAAAGATGTATAAGATGAATCAATCATCAAAATAGTTGACAAAAACTACACATATATTTCAAGGGGACATAAAGTGCACAGGTGTAACTAATAATGCTCCTAACTGCTGAGTTGCATTAACAGTAACTGCATAAACAGAGGCGTCAGTGATCTTACTGGTTTCACCTGAACTTTCCTCCTACATCCTTTATGTATACACAGTACAGGATGCTGCCTTCAGGGATCGTAGGACATAATGTGGCTCAATTTTTAAAGGGCCAGTTCACTGAAAAACAAAACAAAACAAAACAAAATTACATTTTTAAAAAGATGGTTTTGTTATTTGGAGTTTTTACCCCAGGAAACCATTTTATTTTGTTTCCATGCCTTAATTGATCATATTTATTATCTGATAATGTTGATTTTTTTAAAAAATGTTGTTATTTGTTTTGTTTTGTTTTTTTTTTTGCCTATTGTTTCTTGAAAGATAGATTCGCAAAATTAAAACCACCTGACTGTGTGACAACTTATTTAAGTATTTTTATTGGGTTTTCAGGGACAAGTAACGTGTACATTGCAAAGGTAGCAATCTGTATCCAACACAGAGGCAAGATAAAGTAATGTCCAGTAGAGACAAATATAGAGAACAAGAAAGCATCAAACCATAATAATAATATCTACAATAATAATAATAATAATAATGATAATAATAATAAAAAACAATAAAAGTAGTAATAATAATAATAAAAATGCAGTTAAATAAAATAAAATAAAACAACAAATATAAAAATACTGTACTACTGTACACTACTGTAAACGTACATAAGCACAAACCTTGAATCTCGAATTTTACGACTTGCACCTGAAGGCAATCTTGAGCCTAAATATATTTTATTTATGGTACTTTCTAAACTAATAGATAAAAGATAAAAATGAAAAAATACACATTGAAATAATAATAAGAATAAATAATAATACATAAAAAGTACACACATAATATGATACATAAAAATAGAAAATAGAAAATAAAAAAGTACACATTGAAATGATAATGATAATAATAATAATAATTATTATTATTAAATTAAAGTATTAAATATACTTAAGCATTAGAGAATTTTATTCTATAATCAACGTTTTCTATTTGTGCTATAATTTAAAATAGTATCTTTAAAATATATTATTTTTATTGAATACACATTGAAACAACAACAATAATAATAAAAAATATTAATAATTAATATTATTATAGACAAAACTAATAATAAAAAATAAAAATGAAAAAATACACATTGAATATTGTTATTATTATTATCTTAAATATTTTTTAGTTCTCCTTTTTTCCTCCTTAAAAGTTCTGCGTTTATTTAAATATTAAACAATAATAATACATATCAAAATTTTTGATCATTTTATAGTCGATACATAGGTGCATAAGCACAAAACTTGAATGTCGGATTTTCCGAGTGCACCTGAAGGCAATCTTGAGCCTAAATTTATTTAATTGATTCTACTTCCAGCTTTTTTAGATAGTGTAATGTAATCAATAAAAACACTTTGTCACAATTATAAATACAGCGTTTAAAATGTTACGTCACCATCAAAGCAGGTGAAGCACCGGGGCCTTGAAGTATTTATTATGTCAGGTGTGACATGATGTGTAGATACCGCTGGGTGCTTTGTAAATCCAGACACTGTCAGTGTGTGGCCTGCAGGTGGCAGCAGACCTCCTCCTCCTGCATAAAGCTGACATGTCCTCACCCCGTCGCTCCTCCCTTGCAGTAGGCAGTAACCAACTCGTCATCCTCCTCGTTTGCTCAACACTTTTGTTGCTGCACACACTCACAGGACGTGTTTGTATGCGTGTGTGTGTGTGCGCGTGTATATGTGTGTGTGTTTGTAGTTTGTTCACTTCTGTCTTCACTGCAAACACACTGCCTGCTCTCATCGGATACAGTTCCTCACCCAGACCTCCAAGTTTTACCTGTTGATTTTTTGGGGGGGAGTTTATTATTGTGCTCGGGAGAAAGCTCGAAGAGGAGACTGAACGAAAAGAGAGAGACTCTAGAGAAGAAGGAGAAGAAACAGACAAACCTGGAGGAGGAAAAGGGCGTTCATACTTCGAAGTAACCATGGAAGTTCCTGGTATGCAGGTAAGCCGAAAGGTGGACGCGGTGGTAGATTTTGAAGGTGTGTTTGGTCTCTTTCTCTCGTCGTTACGACCAAACTAAACCAGTTTATCACAAGTGGAGGGAACAGGGTGCAACTACAGGCCATTTTAGACACATTTTTAAAGTGGTTACCTGGTGTTTGTGTGTGACATAAAACCTCCAGGTCTCTTAAATTCACATTAACCGTCCAATATCTCCGCAACCGCTTTGACGAAAGGTGACGAAAGGTGACGAAAGTACTCTTATTGGGTCATTTTCTAGCACGATACTGTAATGTGACTTTTATGTGGTACTTACAGTGAACTCCTGATACATTACCTTATGTATGTACTCTGGCACTTCATGTGGAGTTTAAAGTGAATTTAAAGTGTTAAGATATCTTTAAATGTGACTTTAGTACTCTAAATTGGGTTTATAGTGATTCTAAGGTGTTTAAATCTCTTAACACGTCCCTGTGATATTCTTATCAAGACTTACATTGTGATTCTTGTATTCTATATCTCTTAAGATATCTCTGTAATATTCCTTTCGCTACCTGGATTGGACTTTAAACTGAGTATATTGTGATTTTAAGGTGTTTTAATCTTTTGAAATAACCCCATAACATTTCTATAGTGACTCATAAGGTGACTTAGCTTCTCTAAATTGAGTTTATAGAGGCCGTATGGTGTTTAAATGTCTTAAAATGTCCCTTTAATACTTTAACAAAGACTTATCTTTGCTACTCTCTATGGACTTTATAATGAACTATATCTCTACAGTATGTGACTGTGGTGCTTCATATTGAGTTCATAGTGAAACATATGGTGTTGATTTATCTTAAGCTCGCTCTGTAATACTCCTAAAGTAACTTCAAATGTGACTTTAGTACTCTAAATTAAGTTTACAGAGACATCATGGTGTTTAAATCTTTTCGCTTATCCTCATGATACTCTTACAAAGACTTACAATGTCACTATCCTCCCCTACATTGAGTTTATAGTGAACTACTGATATATTACCTCATGTATCCTTAAAATACTGTATATGTGACTTCGGCACTTCATGTGGAGTTTGAAGTGAATTTATAGTGTTAAGATATCTTTAAAGTTACTTTAAATGTGACTTCAGTACTCTAAATTGGGTTTATAGTGATTCTAAGGTGTTTAAATCTCTAAATATGTCCCCATAATAGTCTTATCAGGACTTGCATTGCAATTTTTGTACTCTACATCTCTTCAAATCTACATATGCAGTATGCCTACAGCTACTTACAATAGACTGTAGTACTCTAAACTGTGTTCATAGGGATTTCAGGGAGTTTTAATCACTTAACATAACGCTATAACATTTCTATTGTGACTTAGGAAGTGACTTAGCTTCTCCAAATTGAATTTATAGTGACCTCATGGTGTTTAAATCTCTTAAAATGTCCCTATAATACTTTGACAAAGACTCATAATGTGGCTTTGCTACTATATTGAGTTTATAATGAACTATATCTCTACAGTATGTGACTGTGGTGCTTCACATTGAGTTCATAGTGAAACATATGGTGTTGATTTATCTTAAGCTCTCTCTGTAATACCCCTAAAGTAACTTCAAATGTGACTTTAGTACTCTAAGTTGAGTTTATAGAGACCTTATGGTGTTTAAATCTCTTAAGATTTCCCCACAATGTTCCTACAGAGACTCATTATGTGACTTTGCCACTCAGTTTTGATTTATGTTTATGTTCTTATGTCCCTATGATACTCGTACAAAGGCTTATTTTGGGGCTATATATTAAGCTACGATACATTAGGTTATACCCATGTGACTTATGATTTGACTTAAGAACTTCC